AGAAAGAGAGACAGAGAGAGACAGAGACAGAGAGAGAGAGGGAGTTGAGCTGAGAGAGAGAGAGAAAGAGAGACAGAGAGAGACAGAGACAGAGAGAGAGAGGGAGTTGAGCTGAGAGAGACAGAGAGACAGAGACAGAGAGAGACAGAGACAGAGAGAGAGAGAGGGAGAGAGAGAGAGAGACAGAGAGGGAGGGAGGGAGAGAGAGACAGAGAGAGAGAGAGAGGGAGAGGGAGAGAGACAGAGAGACAGGCCCAGTCACCCAGTTGGCTTTCAAGGCTAAAACAGGATTAGAACTCCAGGTCTCCTGCTTTCTAGTCTGATGCCTAACTGGCTCTTTCTACCGTGTTTCCCCAAAAATAAGACAGGGTCTTATTTTCTTTTGACACCCCTCCCCCGAAATAATATTTTGGAGGAGGTTTTATTATTTTTGAGGTGCAGGAGGTGGTGAGCATAGTCACCTCATTGCTGCTGTGTTGCAATGTTTTCGGCTTATTTTAGCGCAAAATCCTGAGTGGGCTTATTATCTGAGGTCGTCTTGTTTTCGGGAAAACAGGGTATATATTAGAAAAAGAAACCCCTGTCTTAAGCACATGGGCTGAATCTTCTTCCATTCCCTCCTGAATTTATAACGAGCCTAAGAGGTTATTAAACTGGTAACTATAGCAATCTTACACAGTTCCTGAAACGCTTCCTTTAGTTGCGAGTTACGAACAGTTCCTGCGAGGCTGAACGGGAGTTTTGTGACACTTCTGAGCGATCTCAGAAAGAGACTGAAATTAAATACTCACCTACTCTCTTATGCACATAATTGCCCCTTGCAAGACGGAAAGAATATGACAAATTGCATTAAGGAAAGACCGAGGCAGCCCCCCCAAAGCCACAGTCAAAGCAAAAAAGGGAATTGATTCTGCTTCAGAGCACACGGAACAGATCAAGTGTTTTGCAAAAATAATAAAAATTTGTTATTAGTCACGGACCAGTGATTATTTATATTTCATATTTCTTTATCGCCAGTCTCCCTCTGATGAACACTTGCTAATAAGTAAAATTAGCACCCAACTGTGTCAATAACTGTTATTGGCCATTTGAGGGTAGAGTTTATATAAATATATAAAATGGAGTTTATATAAATATATAAAATTACACACCATGTTGCTACTTTTAAAGAGATCATTTTGATGTTAATAGATAATGTAAATTGGAATTGCCGAGATATACTGAAAACGTAGCTAAAAAAGGAGTAACCAGTTGTTGATGAGAATCCCTACAAAATGGACAATAAAAAGGAATTTGAGCCATGGCTGCAATTGCATTTATGGCAGGAACATTAACATGTTTCAAAAGTAATTCCCTTATATCTCCTTTCTAAAACTCCAGGGGAGAGGCAGGAATTAAAGCTCTCCTGAAATTAGGGTTCCAAAATGTGTATGAAGTTGGTTTGGGAGCCAAAGTTTTCTTATTTATAATTATACAGGAGAGGGCGGCAGTTTCTACTTGACTTTCAAGTATCTATATCTATTTATGCCTCCTGATAGACATAAGTATAGATACACGTCCCCAAATGGTGGCAGGGGAATCAGAGAGGAGCATCAGAGAGAGACTAATGTGCACTGAACCACTAATATTTTAGTCAAGACTTACAAAACCTGCCTACAAAATGTCCAAACACAAAAATCACAAACTGAGCGGGACACCAAGGCCCCAACAAGTAACATCTACCTCAAGACCAAAACAGAACAAAAAAACAAACCAGAGAGTTAGTGCTAAGATGGGCAGAGGGATGAGAGAGGTAAATAGATGGATAGATACATAGATACAGAGTAGAGATAGATGAGTTATAGATGATACAGATGGATGATAGAAATGTATAGATGATAGGGATACATGATAGCGATAGATTGATATAGATCTAGATAAATGATAAATAGATGATAGACGATAGATAGATGACATAGATAGGTGATAGATAATAGATATGATAGGATGGATGGATGGATAGATGACAGACAGACAACATGAGATAGACAGATGATACATGATAGACAAACAAATAGAGGAGACAGATAGCTGATGACATATACATAAATAGATCAAGAAAATAGATAAATGAGATATAGACAGATGTTATAACAGTAGGTAGATAGATTGATAATGATAGTCAGACAGATAATAAAGATACATAGGTAGATGAGAGCTAAANGGAGAGAGAGAGATGTTGCTCAGAGTGGAAGAAACAAGTGAAGTCTGCAAAGAGAAAAGCAACAGTTTAAGCAAACACACTAGCAGGTTCCATTGTCCTCTGAAAGGCATACAATGTTCAGCTGCTATATTTTATTTCAGTCCAAGAATAGTATGAATTATTTAACACCAAGCAGGTAATAAATAGAGCTGCTTAAAAGCTGCACGCCCAATAAACACGCCTTTAAAATTTTTCAAAGATTTGAATCCCAAAACTCAAGAATGGGATGTGTTTTTGTTTTTTTGAGTAGATGTTTCCTAGTCAGATAATTCAGAATTTAATTCCATTGCAGTCAAAGGCCAACAATTTACAAAAAGGTAAACGTCCAACAGAGGAGTATATTATAAATAAGGCAATGCATAACAACATGGTTAAGATAAAAGCACCAAGTGATTTTGTGTGACAAACTGGAGAGAGAGTGAGTACCAGTTTTGGGAGTGTCCGCTGACTTTTCCTGCATTATACAGGTAGTCCTCAATTTACGACCCTCAATTGAGCTCAAAATTTATGTTGCTAAGTGAGACAGTTGTTAAGTGAATTTAGCCCCATTTTAGGATCTTTCTAGCCACCGTGGTTAAGTGAATCACTGCTGTTGCTAAGTGAGTCACATGGTTGTTAACTGAAACTCTGCTTGTCAAGCGGACGCAAAAGGGAACAACCTGACCCCGGGATGCTGCAAATGGTCATAAATACGAGTCACGTTACCGGGACACTGCAAACGTTTCAAGTGTTTGTAAAAATAACCTGTTGGGGTTTTTTTGAAAGACGATCTTCCTTTTTATGACAGATACATAAGCTTTTCTAATTCCATTTACTTTTCACCGCAATAAGGAACTGCAATGGCAGAAATCTGCCTCTTCTTACTTGCTCATTGTGGTCCTCGCTTTACAGCATTCTGAAATGTCAGAGAGCTGCAGTATGGTGGTGTTTCTTTCTTTTAAAACAAGCATGCGTGGGGACTGGGCACATGCGGGAGATGTGTGCGCATGTGCAGGGGGCGGGAGAGCGGCCCGTTTCTGGTCCCAGGAGACTGCAGGGGGGGGCTGCTAGGCTCAAAATGGGGCGCAGGGAGTCACAGGTGCATGCGCGAGGGGGCGGAGGAGAGCGGGGGGAGTCGCATGTGCATGCACGGGACGGTGGGGGGCGCAGGGTAGTGTCATGCATGCATTGCATTATAGGTGCAGACACATGACAACAAAAAGGTTAGCCATCACTGGCATAGGTTCTCCTGCTTGAGCAGGGGGCTGGACTAGAAGACCTCCAAGGTGCCTTACAGCTCTATTCTATTC